GGTCATGCGCCAGGAGTCCAAACCCCCCTGCACCCTTTGAGTTAAACCGAAAACGGCGGGAGACCCCCGTTTTCACGTTTAACGGGAATTCAATGGGGTTTGGGGGGATTTAACTGGTTTCAACTGCCATTAAACTGAACCCCCCACCCGTTGAAAAGACACTCAGGCTCAATGAACAGTGCTTGTCAATGGAAGAGGTCTATGGAGGAATTTCATCACGGGGATTGATAGCCTACAACCCCAGAGTGGAATCACAAACATGGATATTGGTAGAAGAAAGTACGATGCTCACATCCTGGAGGAAGACCGGCTTGAGAAAGAACGCATACGACCATAGGAGGACATACATCATGAAAGGAAAACCCAATCCAACCGAAACCACTACTTCGCCTCCTCCCTCCCTCATTCTCCTCCGCTCCTCATCTACCCTACCTGGTTCTGCGGCCCATTCATTTTGGGAAAAAACAAAGCCACACAAAACACACTCCTCTCCTTGTTCCCATACATTTCACTTCCTCTCCTTTTCTTCCCTCCTCTTCAGTACCTTGGTTCTTCTTCTTTCTTTCGTCCCTTTCCCTTTTGAGACAGAAATGCCCCTAACATTAGAGAATCCAGCAACTGCGGTAACCTGTTCCTGTTCATGATCTCCATTCTAATTTGCCTTCGGGAGCTTGACGGGACGGAAATCCACAAACGTCGTTCACATTGCAAACAAGAAATTCTGGACCGATTGGTTGGACCAATCATCTTTCCTCCTCCTGGCACCCTCTTTCTGGTGATCTTGCTCTAGGGATCTCTTTTGTAAGCAACAAAATAATTCAAGTACATGAGCTGTTTGCCAAACTGATTCCTCTTTCCTCCCCAACCCCCAATTGCCCCCCTTGATGGCCTCTCCTCCGCCTCCATCTCACTTGCTTTCCTACCCTGCCTCTATACTCATCCATCCCTTCATCCTTGAGCACTTCTGCAAACATCATCACTTACCTCCTCTATCATTAACAGTGCCAAGCTACCGTCCCATGCAAACATCATCCCTTACCTCCTCGATCAGTAAACCAGCACTACATCTGGAGAATTCGAGTGAGCCTCTCCAAAAAGTTAGGGGACTCGGACAGGGCCCATCTGAGGGCCGGTGGAATTTTTGTTCTTAATCCATGGCTGGGCCTAATGCCACCACACGGTGTGGGACAGTTTCTTTCTACTGGCCCTTGGGATGCCCTGCCCCAAGCCTCCGAAATTTTAGGAGAGGCTCAGTTGGATTTTCATCTTGCCTGGGGCCATCTACAGGTCGTTTAACAATGCCATGCTACTGTGCCCATCCCAATTTGCTCCTGTCCTGCACTTCGTGCAGAACAAGAATAAAACATTGCATGAAGAATGGAAAAAAGGGCCAAAAATAATGAAACAGCAGCACAGTGCTAGCCTTGAGTCTTTCGCCCTGATTCCCTGGCCTTCTCTGCGGGGCCCAGCAAAGCTGCAAGCACGCAACAGCTTTGCAATAGAGCACATCGAAGTTGTCTTATATCAGCCTCCCTCTTCAGAAGATTGATTTGATGGGAGTACCCCTGCACTTTTTTGTAGGACGATGGTAGTGTTTTTTTTTTTTTTTTTTTTAAGGATGATAGTGTTTTTCATGAGTGGCAAGAAGAGAAAACAGACAGGACGATGGTAGTGTTTCTCATGAATGGGAAGAAGAGAAAACAGACAGCAACATCACCTCTTTTGCCTGATGTCAAAGATTCTTATGGATCCATCCTCACATCCTGCTATACAGTCATTGCAACTGAATTGAGACGCCGCCTGCACAGATCAAACAGAAGCAGAATTTTTCTGTCATCTAAAGGAAAGGAAAGCATAGCCCGACAAACTTTAGAAGAACAAGTCATACCTGCCGTGGCAAAGCCGCGGCCCAGAGGTGGGGATGAGATGAAACTCAAAGGAGGGCCATGTCATGGGAGTGGGTGGTATAGTGAACCCCTCCCCCCCCAAAAAAAAGAGAGAAGGCAAAAAAAAACATGAAGCCCAACCTGAACACACCAGCTACCAATCAGAGTTGCTTTAACTGTGGCTGGGTACATTTAAGATTAGTGGTAGTGGTGTGAGTACGCCCTCAGTTGGTACACCCCTGAAATGTTGAAATACAGACCCGGGTTCGAACTCCACTTGAGGCGGATAAGCAAGCCGCATTTGGCGGCACACATGGTGAGTAGTGGGAGGTCAAATTGCCAGTCCGAGGGCCGATATAGACCCATATTTTTGTCTTTTGTAATGTGGCGGCGTATCTTTCCATGTTCAAGCCTATGATTCATTCTCCTTCTGCACATTCGGTGACCCTAAAAAAAACGGTGGTGTATCTTTCCATGTTCTAGAGGAGGATTCGTTCCGATTCTGGACATTTTCAAAGTAGAGGGCAAAGCCTTGCTGAGGCTTGCTCCACGACTCCAACATGAGAATGAATCCTCCTCTAGAACATGGAAAGATAGGGCATGTGGGCCCCATTGAGAAACGGCAAAAACCAAGATCCTCCTACTTGCTCCACGACTCGAACATGAGAATGAATCCTACTCTAGAACATGGAAAGATACACCGCCAATTTTTTGGTCGTTTGTGCATGTGGGGCCATCGTGAAACGGCAAAAACCAAGATCCTCCTACTACTATGTACATTTCTTCCATGAGAGACATGCACAAAAGACAAAAAATATGGCAGTGAATAGTTCCATGTTCCAGCAGACGATTCACTGTTGTGGCCAGTCAAGTGAGGGCGTGGCTCCGTACCCTCCAAATGTGCAAAATGAGAATGAATCTGCAGCACCTGTATGAAGCTAAAGTACATCTCTTACGAGGAGTTTCTTTCATATGTCAAGGGCTGGTAAGGTTTTGCGCGTTGTACTGCATGGACTACCCGGGTCATTTTGAATTCAAATAAAAAATGGCCTATATCATTCTCTGAGTTTTTGTTTTGATTGCAATATCAGCGTTGCGACATGGAACTATACACCACCACATTTTGTCTTTTGTGCATGTGGATAGTAGTGGAGCGAGCCCCCAAATCTACCCATGTTCCTGAAGGAGATTCGGGCTCATTTTGCACATACGGTGAGTAGTGGGCCACGCCCTGACATGGGATGACACGCGCGAGAAACAGTGTAGGGCCTCACCCTGTTAGACTTTTGAGCCTGAGTCGACCCTTTTGCAGGTCCCAGCTGGCTCGGCTCCACTCACGCTCATGCTCAGGGTGCGGAGCCATTCGTCACATGATCACCCCCACCTAGTGCTTTGAGATGGATGGGGGTGGGCCATTGAGCGAGAGAGCTTTGACATTGGGGATGTAGCTCAACTTTCTCGCTAGTGGGGCAGTTTTGGCATTCACTTGCAGGCGTCCTCTTTCTCGATGCTTTGATGTGTTCTCATGCAATTGTTCCTTCCAACACACGGACAGTCCAAGGGGTTCTTTGAGATTTCTCTTCTATTATGCGCAGGCTAAGCGTCCTCCTTAGGCCGCGTATCCATTCACTATCGTGATGGTCCTATGGCTTCATCGAGGTAGGGGGCAACCCTTCTCCTCTTAGCCGGTCTACACCCTAGCTTTCCTTGTCTCACACATCATGCATCATATTCGCCCACATGCTTACAAGACTCGGCAGCCGTCTCGACCACCCGACACTTTAGCAAACTTCAACCATATATGCCATCCCTTTTCCTTTTCATTCATACTTGGAGCAGCATGCACAAAGGGTCCCACTCATAGGCATAGGTTACGTTCACAACCGCTTAGCTTTTGTCCCTCCTTTTCCTTTTGCTGCCCGACATATCCGAGCTTAGTCCAGCTCAAAACATCTCAAAGCTACTCACCTGCACACTCAATCACAATGCAAAGCACATACAACCCCATTTGGGGTCAACATGTAGACCCTCCCACATAACTAGTCTCTGTGTCCTTAGGTTCTTTCCCTTCTCATTCCCTTCCTTCATGCAAACCATCCTCTTTTCTTAGCCATGCAGTCGGGGTGCTGGTTGAGTCAACTGACCTCTCTTTCACTTGCCAATTCTCTCTAGTCCCTCTCGGACTTGTCAACCCCCAAGCCCTTCAAGCACTTTTTCTTTCCTTTCTTCTTGGTGGCACAAGGGACCGGTAGCCCTCCCCTTGCCCTCGTCTTCCACCAAGTGAGATCACAGTTCGTTCACCGTTCGTGTTTTGGCAATGTAACAAGTGAGTGAGGGAAATGTTAGTTGCATGCCAAGAGGAAAAGGGGAGAGAGAGTAAGGGTTGACCTTCGGGTTCGGAAGAGGAGGGCGGAAGAGTTTTTGGCGATCAAGAAAAAGAAGAGGAAAGAGAGGGAGAGGGTATTCACACACATATATATATATATTTATATATATAGAGAGAGAGAGAGAGAGGGAAAGAGAGAGAGAGAGAGAGAGAGAGAGAGAGAGAGAGCCCTCCTAAGCCTATCCAACTTTCCCTCTACTCGTACCACCGGCCTACCTATGACTCTTTTAACGGTTTGCTGCCCCATACACCTTGGACTGCGGCATCGGTTGACAAGGAACGTGGAGGTGGAAGAAGGTGTGAAGGTGCTTGGCTATGGTGGATGGGTGAAGGAGGTGGAGGTGGAAGGAGTGAAGGTGCTTGGTTATGGTGGACG